CCCTCCCGCGCTAGCCTAAGGGCCACCTTAGCAAAGCGCATCCCAGGCTGCATAGCCGCACTACCCTACCCAACCATACCACACATAAACATGACACTACCCCCGGGGTTTACACAGACGAGCCGGCGAAGCAAGAAGAGCGCCAGAAGAAAGGGCCCTAGCCGGCGGGGCCCAGCCAGGACAAAAGGAGGTCCCACAAAGCGCCTACACCGGCCGCATTTGCGGTCGGGGTAGACGACGGATGGGGCCCACCTACGAAGGCTGTCCAGGCCTACACGAGATGAGGCAGGATAAAGAGGGATAATCCCCCTCGATCCCAAATCATTGAGGCCAATTTCTAGCCATAGAATAATGGCGACCACCTAGTGACGTCAGTTAGAGTGGTTTACCGCATCATAGAGAGGCAAAATCCACCCCGTATAGTGTCAGTTTAAAAGAATTAAAAAATAACGATTATTTTTCCTTCCAGGGTCGAACCAGCTGGCGCTTTTCGGGAAAATAACGGACGATCTGCAGAAACCTTTGAAGGGGGTGCCGACCATAGTATTCAACGACGTGTATAAGGCGGAGGACAACTCCCTGGCCCAGTCGAACTTCGTGAAGGCCCTTTGCCAGTACATCGTGGGCGCCAAACCAGAGGAATGCTCGAAGAACGGCGCGGGGAGCCTGAGCATCAGCCTGGCTTGTTTGGTTCTGGCCTTGGTGTTCTCCCGCTCCTTCTAAGCGCGTACTCGCGTTCAAAATGTTCTTAAGCAATCTCCTCTCGACCAAATCTCGATCGAACCAAGTACCTTTAAACTAGCCTTCGTTGTACATACGTCTTAGTGTCTCACCATGCCTTATCGCGCATAAAATATATTATATATACAGTATTTACTTAAAACGTCTACACTTTTTTAATGTTATTGCCATTGTAAGCGAAGTAGACGTTACACTTCTATTTTTACTCAAATTGTTGCCGGGTGTGTGTTAGATTTTTAATTGTACCTAATGTGATTTTTTTAAATAAAGTTAACTTTTTTTGGCCAGGGCGTCGTTTCATTGGGTTGTCAGTGTACTCCAGTCGGATTAGATCATGAAACATGAAAACGGGGAACCAATAGAGATTTTCTGGCACACTTAAATGTTACAGCAAATTTCATGTATTACCTTTCGAAAAATACTTAGTAGGCGAAAACCCAAGTGATTCCCCAGCAAACTCGTGAAAAATAAATAGAAACAACAACAATTGTTTTATTTATTTTTTTATTGTTTTTTAAATAATGATGGAATCGTCTTACTCTCAATATAATCCAGACGGTATCTGTTTCAAAAAGCCATATTTGGGTGAATCGTATATCCACGGAGATTTTTGGCTTTTTGGCTTTCAAATATCACTAGAAATGAAAGTTTTTCTATGCGCATAAAAAAAACGTGGGCTTAACTTTTGACGGCACAATATGTTAAAAAATTTCGAAAAATGTCATATTTTTCTTCCTATTTAATCATGAATCTTTTCAAGAGTTGAATGTAGGCGAAAATGGAGGAGGAAAAAAATATTTGCACTTAATTTTTTTACGAAACATGTCTAGTTACAAATTTAAAAATTCGCAAAAATGGGGTTAAAAAACAATACTTTTTAGGGAATTTTTTTGGGGTATTTTAAAAGGGTATAAGACCTTCATACTTGACTCAAGAAAACTTCATGTTATGTAGAATTATCACACAAAATTTCAGCAAAATCGGTTCTATAGATTTTGCATAATAATTTTGCAATCCAGATTTTGAAAAAAAAATTGCAAATTTTCAAAATTTTGTACAGCAAAAACCAAGGCCCTTAGATACTTGAAAATTTAATCACATATAGAAAGGCTCTCAAGCTTTCAAACGTTTTTTGAAAAATTCCAATCCGTCAATTAGGAGAGCTCTGGCGCTTGTTTAAACATTGGTCGAATTTTTGTACTTATAAACAATTAGAATAACTTTGTGAATATTCAATAAAATCAAATTTTTTAAAGCAGGTTTTAAATGTTCTTGGAAAGACGCTTCTTTAAAAAAAAACAGATCGATTGATCAATTAGTTACATAGTTATAGCCGTTCAAA